AAAACTAATTCCCTTGCTGGCAAGCACCGAGCATGCGTCTGTATCAACCCTTTCCCAGCTCTAATTCAAAGCATTTCTCCAAGACAGACACCAGAAAACAGTTGGAACAGGAATGAATAGAAGTCATGGAGATTTAACAATACACAATGTAGAAACTTAACATCAAAAAATTTGCTCGTTAAGTTGTTGTCCACTGTTGTCAAGATCCCCAAAAGCCTATATGTATTTTAAACTCCTTTTTATGACATTGAACATATCTCTGTAGTTCTTTTTTCTTGGAAATGTTGATATTTGCATTGGGTACTGATTTATCAAGGATTGTCTGAAGTATGGGAAAGGATTACAGATTTTCCTGTGGTCACTTTAAAGATTCATTTTCATTCAGTTTGCGAAAATGTGTGTGGGAACAGGTTCAGATTTGTTAGCCATTTTCAGTTAACTGTCCCATTTGGCTATTTAATAAAAACCTTACAGTGCAAATATATGCAATACTCCGAGTTTACTACTTCCAGGAAGAATGTCAGAATAGATATTCAGTAGAAGCACAATCATTGGATACGTACCTCTGAACTTCTCTTCCACTAATGGAAACATACAGGTGGCTTAACGATGTTTTTTTGCCCATTATATCCCTGTGGCTTAACAATGTTTTTTTTGCCCATTATATCCCTATGGAGAGTCAAAGGAATTTGAAATGATACCCTTTTCCAATCAGTTTACAATCTGTGTCTTTTTTTAAATAGTGTACTCTTTCCACCTCTCTTCTTTCTACAGCTGTCTGTTGAAAGCGATCGTACTTCAGACTAGAAATTTTGGTACTTAAATTCTTTTTGTTCATTCATTAGTTTGTTCAGTAAGTGTTTTTGAATAAGGCTGACCCGAAGCAGTGACCATTAACCACCCTACCAGGTACTGGTGGGATGCAAGTACTATAAATACACACACACACACACACACACACACAATCCACCAAAACATGTAAACACACTACGTTCTTGTTTAAAGAAAAATAATAAATGTCTGGAAGCTAATGGCCACCACTGTTAGCACCTTTTGTAATTATGGAGGCCAAAGGTAACTTGTATTACTCTTATGATGTCTCGATACATTTAGTATTAAAATATTTATACAAGCTATTTTTTCCTGACCTGTGCATATATTTTTTGTTGACTCTGTATTCAGCAGTTTCAAGAGACTTTGTCTACCAAGAAAATAAAACGTGACCAATGGGCTCACTCTGAAAAGTTATGTGATAAAGCAGTGAGATTTGCTTATCTCACGAGCTGGCTGAAGATGACTTTGAGCAATCTGAGAACATCCGTCCTCGATCTCGTTCTTAATTTCTAAGAGAGTTCTTGTGTGCTACACTGGAGAACAGGGCAGGACTGGTGATTTATTGCTTTTCTTTCCCAAGTGTAAAGTGGCTACTGTTGGAGAAAGCGCCCATCTCATCCCACCTTTGCCTCTTAGGGACAGACCTTTCTTCAGTCTGTGGACATTTTTACTCGCCCAGTGTCAGTGATGATGAACCGATGGCATTCGCTTAGAGATGTTCAGCCCAGAAGCTCTCTGCTATATTTTTCAGTCTTGTTATGTTCTTTGCTTGTCTGAACCTTATTTCTTTTGGTCAATGCCTGTGCTAAATGTCATGGCCAGTAGAAAACACCGCTCGGTTCAGATTCATTGAAATTCATGGCAAAGAGAATGAAAGCCCTTAATCAAAGGCACAAGATAGATTTTTTTTTTTTTGCAAAGAAATAATGGCCAGAAAATTAATCCAAAGCATGCTTCAGTTTGGGCTTCTGTACAAGCACGTCTTGGCGCAGGTCTGGGCTCGAGGTTGTGGGAGCTGCAGGAGTGGAAAATGGAAATGGCTAATCTGCACCTGCCCTTTCTCCAGAGACCCGGCTCATCCTCTTCCATGACACACGGAACCAGTTCACACTCTGAGAAAGAAGGCTGTGGCCACCCCTGTGTGCCCACACCGTAGCAGGCTGGCCTCACTGTGGCTTTCATTGGAACCATACATATGGAGTATTTTACAGATAATTATATGATTGGATGCATGATGTATTTCTGTGGCACTCATGACTTCCAGTCTTTTGCAACTCTGTCCACTAGCGTCTTCCCTAGGGACAGGGACATTTTATAGATCCGTTCTGTCCAGTACAGTAGGTATGACCCATATGTGGCTGTTGTGCACTACAATGTGGAACTGAAGTTTTCGTTTATTTATTTTTAACTTAAATAGCCACATATGACTACCCTAATGGTAAAAAGTAACTTCATGTATATGCATTTCCACGAATGGAAATGCATAAATGCTCATCTATGATAATGACACAGTTTTCACCTAGGAACATGAACTAATTGTTATTAATTTTGATATAAAAAGAATAAATACAAGTCTGAAACTTTTTGTCCCCAGTATTTAGGTGATATCTGAGATTATGTCACCTTTATACCCAAATGTCGATGATGAAAAGAAAATAATTTTAAATACTAGATGTTTTACCAGATGATTACCAGGTGATTTGAATATCAGGAGATAATTACAGTGTCAGGCAGCTCTCTTAGGCCTGGGGAAATAACGCCCTCAGAGAGAGGAAATTTGGAGGAAAAATGTGCGCTCGTTCTGCTATTAATATAAAAATAATGTTTTAACTTCAGTTGTCTAGACTGAATACGTAAGTCACCAACTACTTACTTTGACTTTTTTCCACTTATTCTATAGCTTTTCATTCCACATGGACAGGTAAGATGAAATCTGACTACACTTAAATGTCAGGCTCCACATAAAAGGCCCTCTAATCAGAACAAGAAATCATGAAAATTTTAAGTAAATGAAAATAGTGATATGAATAGCCTCTAGAATTCTGTTTTGAAAAGAATGCTGAACAATTTAGTGGCATGTCTACACAGGAGTTAAACCTGCCATTAATTGAAAATTACAGAGCCTAGTATTGTAAATGATATATCCTAATAACAAATAAAAGAAACTCTTCTCTTGAGTGTATGGTAATACAAATGCGACCATGCCCGACTAATACAAAACAGTATATTATCCAGAAATTTTTATTGTCGGTTTTGCCATGTGTGAAGATTTAGCATCGAGGTTTTGTCTGGGAGGAAATGCTATTGATACCTGCTTCAGAGCTAGAAGCAACCAGAGAGAATGAGCCCTCCTGAGATGGGAAGTGTGGACTGCCAGTTCCCTTCGCTCACCGAGTCTGTGCTCCTCGGTCAGACGCATGTGACACACTAGAATTTTGTGGCTTTTAAATCCGTCACCACAGGTCAATGACACATTCATAAATATTACCTATTTACAGAAGACTGAAAACAATGACTTTTTTTCATATAAGCAGGAGGTTCTGCCAAGTTCTAGGAATGGGCTAGTGAGTACCTGCTCCTCTGGTTGCATTAATAGGGCTCCGGGAAAAATCAAGCTGCTTGTTTACACAGCCTGTCTTCCTTCACAGGGTTCTTACGAGAATCAAATGAGACCCTGAGAGAGTTAGACTCTTGCGGTAGAAAGAGCAGTCAGACAACCGGAAACACCTGCATTCTAAGCCTGGGCCTTTCCCCGATGGCTTTGCGTTTTCGTTTTCTTATGTGGAGAGCGGGTAGGAATAGTTGTTCTGCGTGACACATGGAGGATATAGACAGTGCCCGGCGCACCACGTGAACACAGAATTTCGTTCCATCGCTGTTGCAGGAGCAGAGATTTCCAGTCACTGGCTGCTAGATGAGATTCGTTTACCTTTATCTCATTCCTCAGTCACCAGTTGCACAGTGACACAAAATGATTGGCTGGGATTAGCGGTGTGGTCTGTGAAGGTGAAATTGAGTGCAACAAGAAGAATCACAAAAGGCCCCAAAACTGCGGCCTTGACTTCATTAAGCAGGCGCAGTATTCATCTAGTGATCTAGCCTCAGTCAGACGCTGCCTTCTGACCTTTTGCCAGCTTAGCCATGCTGTCAGCAGCTGGGGGCCCTGCCAAAGGGCAGGGGAGGGAGCCCCAGTTGCCCACATTGCAGATTATCTCGGGAATATTCAAGAGTGACTAAAAAAGAAGCCCCTGCCTTGTAATTTTACTTCAAAACTAAAAAAAAAAAAAAAAAAAACCCT